TCAAGCTTTCAGCTTCAAGATTGCCCGCCGCCCGCAATCTCACCCATTTTCGTTGATCAGCTTCCAGACAGAACAATGGAAACGTACTGTCTCACTTTCATTCGACCGGGAGAAAAGAAAAGAGCGTCGATTGGATACCGCGTTTCTAAATAAAGTGTCTGGTTGGCCGCCGGGACTTGTCCGCCCGCCCGCAGCCAGACTGCTGCGCGGGCTGCGCCGTAGACAGCCGGGGAGAGCGGACGCCGTGTTACACGATGAATTTGATGGCCAGCTTGCAGCCCAGAGCGGCGGCTGTTGTCGCTGTTGTGTCCCAATTGTTCTGCACTCCTCTGCTACCAAGTCATCCTGATGGGGATTGTACGGAGTACCACAGTGCTGCCCGATGTCTGAATGCGTACACGCCGCGCAACGTCACTTCTCGATAAACAGCATTTGCTACCTTTTCCAGCCTCGTCAACTCTACATCTTCTGTGAGAACTGACGATGCTCAAATGTGCATGGTCAGCATTCATCGACATGATCCAATCGCTCGGCCAATCGCGGGCAACTATCGGCCGCATAACTACAACTCGGCATTGCACGAATGGAGCAGAGAGCACGCTGACCATGGCTCAAGCCATGACATTGGTGTTGTGAGCCCTGCCCGTACCGAGTAGTACATAACTTGTTCCAAACCCGGGGTAAGCATGAACAACACGTGTTTGCAAACGGGCTTGTCCTTGGGTTTGGAGAGGGCCCGGCAGAGCCTCAACTTGTCGGTTCCAGCCGACCCAGAACCAGAATTCGACACCTCGCGGTTGTAGCGCTGTACTCAAACTACGGAGTAGTACTCCGTACTCATGGTAACGCTGTGCCATGTTTCTCCACGCGCTTTTGACAGGTCATCTGTAGCTGGGGTCCAAGGCGACCAGCGTCACACCCGGCGTTCTGGCTGGCACCCTTCCGCGAGTCTTGCTTATCCGACTGGCCTTTGCCTGTTCTTATCAGAAGGCTCATTCAGAATCGTGAGCAGGCGCAACTAACTTCTCGGTAACAGGGGTGTAACTACTCGCGGTTGGTAACCATGTGATCCAGTTGAGGAAGTTGTCATCGCTGGGAATTCTTCAACAGGGTGATGATGCTTCCAGCGAACTCGAAAGCATCCAAAACTGGATACGTCATCAACAGAAAAGAAGAGGTGTGTCAACAGCTGATAGCTCGCCCACAGAGAGATCGCCCCTGGACCATACGACCTCCTTTTTGGCAGCCCAACACGCAGTAATGGAACCTCGCGCGATCAATATTCAAGACAGAGATAATTTTAGGAACAGCGTAGCAACTTCGGTCCTGTTTGCGCTCCTCGATCCCATCATCACCACGTCGTACTTTACCCTGCCAACACGAATCGTCTCAGCCTCCACCCATCTTGGGCAACTTCTGAGTTTCTGGTCCTCAGTCTGCTCTGTCGACGTTGCATCCCTTGAAGTTTCGTCTGATGCTTCTTTTCTCTCAAGGCCGTGTGGCTTTCACCACTGATGCGGCATCTGAATTGGGACAAACAGCGACGTGACGGCGTCCATGTCCATTTTCCGCCCATCGAATGATTCATAATGCATGTCGAGATCAGCACATTTCTCAGAATAAGGCAGTTCCTCTTCTCCCTTGTTGCCAAATCCATACTTGCTTTTTTTTCCTTTTTGCCACGTTTCGTCTCGCCATCCATTATCAGCCTTGCCACCCTGGCCACTGTAAGACTTGTAATCCTTGGTGCCTCCCATTTGATCAACAGCACCAATTCCACATTCCTGAACCATGAGAAATGTTATCCTCTTCACTCCAGCCTTGGCCTCGTCCCCTGGGCATCAGCGCCAGCCCCCAAACCAGTCCTCTCTCACCCTTTGACCACCGCGCCCCCTCCCCATACTTTCTCCCTCCTCTTCCTGCTTTTTTTTTTTTTTTGCCCTTCAACATCTTTCTTCTTGTCAACCTCCTTTTCGCTTGACAAGTACTTCCTTCTCGGCTTGGAAGAGAGTACGCCAGTCTAACACAGGGCAACCCGGGCTGATATTGCCTCATAGTCTTGCAAAGGATATCCGCCATAGGCATACAGTATCAGTATGGAACCAACTAGAGCTAAATACGGTCGACATAATCAACTTTTCTTGTCATACATGGGTCTTGGGGATGCAAGCTTGGGGCAAAGGGGCACCTGGGCCCTGGCTACGGATGAGGCTGTCCCTAGAGCTAGTCTTGAAAACGTAGAAGCCGAGTCGGAGCATATATTGGCCTTGAAGACTCATGAAGTATCCGGTGACTGGATACGACAGCACAAAGACCATATAGCTGGCTTTCCCACTTTGAAGCAAAACGATATATCCTAGTCGTGGCCTCAGCCCAGGCACTAAACATTCATCATCGTCCAGAACTGAACGGCCGTCCAGTCCCCTCAGGACATGGGCCTGCGCTAACAAGTCAGAATTTGCGTAGTTCATCCATTGCATTCCACCAAAAACAATTGTTCGACGCCCAACAAGTTTCCAAGCTTTCCAGCGCACTCTGCAGTCCGTTCCTTGGATCCATCACATAGCCCCGTCGCTAATGTCGCTCCGGCTCGTTCCTAAACACTTCCTCTATACGCCCTTTCACCTCTCACCACGCCTCTGGGACGCAAGGGTGTAAATAGATGGCAAATATACGTACATCAAAGAGTGTGTTGCAAACATCTGCCCCCTCCCCCTTCCATGAAATGTCATGGGGTAAAGTAACTACCAGTAAGGGTTAGGGTTGTAGTTATCACGGCGCACCCCCCTTTTTTTCCCCTTTTTTTTCTCTCACAGGCAACGATGCTGTATACTCCAAGTACACACCTAGGTCCTCTGGCTTAGCCTCTCAAGCAGAAACAAGCAATCAAGCCCACTCACCACGCGACACGGACGGAAGCGCCATCAACAGCATCTCAGACGCGCCGAGCATCAAGTACTGACCCTATAATTACTAGGCCAAGCGATTGAGCCGCTGTTAGTAGCGTCCCGCGTCAAGGCTCAGCTAAACTAACCAGACTTGTAATGTCAATCGATGCACGACTCACAATCACATGGGACGGTACGCTAACGCAATATGGGAAAAGCAACTCGAACCTTGACTAGACTTTTCAACGCACGGGACCTACATGTCCCATCAATCCTACCGATATGTCGGCTTCGCTAGTCTGGGCGTGTGCTACAACTCCCAGCGGCTTGCTTTGCACGTGGCTCCTTTCGTTTCAAAAGCCTTGTTACAACCTCATTCGACCATCGTTGTATACTTCAAGTCATTACCGTTGCGTCAGTCAGCTCCACGAGCCTTCCCCCTTCAAGACACATCATCATCTGGTCCCTACTTCATCGCTCGCATCATATCCCCATGTACCACTTGCAAGTACCATCAGTCATTCACAAGCAATCAAGACGTGATACGGGAATAAGCTTAATCATTGATTCTCGCGCCATCGCACTCAATTGCCCAATCCATCATCCGCTTCTGTCTGTCCATTTTGCCACAAAATTCCTGTCTCTTGAACCATCAACTCTTGTTCCCAGTCATCACTGTTTCCCACCGCATACAGCAGTTCCCCTGAACATGTCAGGGGGAACCCGAGCACACCATCCATTTCTTTTTCCTTTCGCTTGCTGTACCTGATTGCTTCGGCTCCCTCTGTCTAATCCAGCGCGCGTCACCGTCGTCATCGAATAATACAAAATAAAAAGAGTGAGAATCGTTCATATTTCGTGCTCGTCCGCGCGGGGCTTTTGTCTCCTTGCTGGTCTCCAAATACTTTTTTTTTTCATTTCCCACTGTCCTCAAACGTCCCTTTTCTTCCTTTTCTTGCGTTCCCCACCACCAATGATTATACGCGCCCTTGTTTCAAATTCTCGGTTGCCAACTGCTGCCATATTATGCTTGATGCAATCACAAGTCTCTGCAGCTTGGTATTTGAAACACCCAGAGGTTCATGAGCACCCATAGAGAAGGAGTTACTCAGTGTGTCCAGGCACCAAACAGTACAAGCGGCAGATTCCCTAGACACATCCCATCACCAAGCATGTACGCGCGCCGTTCCTAGTTCACAACAGCCACTCACAGCCTCGCTGGGTATATCCATCGCAGGTGCATTAAATCGTTTCGTCAAGAAAGTAGCGTGACAGTGTCCGTTGGTCATTCCCGTAGTCAGTAGCCGGTTCCGTATGACCCCAAATAAAATCGTTGAAATGAAAGTTCATCAATTGCGGAGAAAAAACACATCCCTTGTCTAGCCAGCTGGAAAGGTCATTGCCCTGAATGAAAAAGAAGAAGACCGGGGAAGTGATTTGGCGTAGACAAGGGAGTGCTCCGACAGAGAAAAATGTGCGGCAAGAAAAAAAAAGGCACATAGACAGTGCAGGACAATCTTGCACGCGCCCTGTGTAAATTTGTCGTTGCTGGTCTCGCCGGACGGTATCGTAAGCAAGTAGTTTCAAGGCATCATCGGCTGCACCAGTCAAGCTGCCTTCTGACATTGAATCCGGGTAAAGGTCGTCCATCCGTATTCAAAATTAAAAAAAAAAAAAAAAGAGAAAAACAAGACCCAGAATCTTTTTTCTTTCCCAATCAGAGTCCCGAGAAAAGTAGAAGAAAAAAACAAGAGGGTGAGAGAGACGTTATAGAAGGCCCCCTGCCTGAGGGTAAAACAGTGATGGATCATGCTTTGATTGAAAAGAACACCCGTTTTTAAAGGAAATATCCAGGCAGTACAAAGTCAAGCGTTGATGAGGTCGGAAAAAAAGGAAACAAGACAAAAATTCGCAAAACTTCAGGCAACATCGTTCCTCCTACAAAAGGCGCACCAGCAACAGTCCACTTAGCATACAAGTGCCGGCGGAACGGTTCAAGATGCGCACGTTCAAGGAGCCTCGGTGTCTGTCCTTTCAATACTCCAGGTAGCCAGTCGAGCAATTGTGTGGCACAAAGGGTCAGAAGGGACAGACGTATCACGAATGTTGAATTTAAGCCACGGGGGCAATAGGAGCCACCGGTGCCTGAGCAGCAGGGACGCTTCCCATATCGACTTCGGGAGCGATCTCACCGCTAGCGTTCTTCTGAGGGCAGTCGCGAGAAATGTGACCAGCCTCACCGCACTGGTAGCAAGTCTTGCCAGCAGTGTTCAGAGGGCCGCCGTTCGGGGCGGTACAGTCGCGAGAAATGTGACCGAGCTTGCCGCAGGCGTAGCACTTCATAGCCTGAGCCTGGCAATCCCGAGCAAAGTGGTTGGGACCACCGCACTTGTAACAGGTAGCAGGACGAGGACCGCCAGAGAACCCGCCGCGTCCAGCGAAGCCGCCGGCAAATCCGCCGCGTCCCATGGGAGCACCACGGCCCATCGGGCCAACCGGATTAGGGCACGCGCGCTAGGAATGACATGTCAGCAATGGTTTCGGCTAAGATTTACCACTTGGGGATTACGCACTGCCAGATGACCAGGCTGGCCGCAGTTGTAGCAGCGTCCACTGGTAGCACTGCCGCTAAGGCGCAGAGTAGGGCAGTCGGCTTGAACGTGACCGAGACCCTGGCAGTGGTAGCACTGTTTTGCCTCTGTCGTTCGAGGAAGGGGGCAGCCGTTGGACTCGTGGCCAGGCTGCTTGCCTATGTATGTGTTTGTTAGAACGGCCGTCGCGCAAGTCGGCGTCGGGAGGAATCGTACAGTTGTAGCATAGGCGCTCGGATGAGGAGCAAACTTCAGCATAGTGGCCGACATTGCCACATTTGTAGCAGGCACGACGAGAGAGAGAAGACATATTGGTGGAGATTTTAGTGTCTGTGACAATATCAGAGTTAGCAATACAGTCAAGCATGCCAGTATAAATAGCTCGTTATTTGTGTTCGGAATGCTCCTCGTAGCCGAGGTTTTGATTGCCCCCAACCAAGTCATCAATTCTATTGCTATCGAATTGGTGCTAGGCTGCGTCCTGAAGGAGCGTGTGATGTTTTGCCAGGAATATGAGATGAAACGACTCAGAGGATTTGTCCTCATCTTCAGTCTCGTTCTTAAATCCGGTGCATGCCGTGAATATATAAGAGGTCGCAGGGGCTGGGAGATAACACGGAAGCATGTTTTCAGTTGGCCTGGGCCGTCACCTGATGACAGGTCGAGGCCCGGTCAAAGCCACCATGCATGTAGAGAGTTGGTGCGACCATTGCGTCGGGCTGGGAGATAGACGCCAGGTCTGTCACATGGAGATGGTACAGCTATTGTCCCCGTTGCGGTAGATGCATTGGTGATTCACCAATGCATCATCACCACAGTACGGTGCGCTGATGCCATCGTGTCGGTGATAAGCGACCGCAAGCGCCAGTCGCGTAGGCTACAAGACCGCCCAAGACACGAGCATGACGGTCTGGCGATGGCCGAACCAAGTTACATGACTAGATTCGCGACGGTGTGCGGTGGCTGCGCGGGGAGGGCAACGACGCTCCGAATGGTTTGGCTAATCGCAAAGCCGCCAGCTCTAGTCAGAGCGCGTCGAGAAGGGCTCCGTTCATCGGACTTCCACTGGACTTTTACGACGAGACGGGCGACAGGCAGGCGAAACGGAGTCGAGTTGGTGCAGGAGAGAGCGCAAAGTTGAAGAGTAGAATCGCGAAGGGCTTGTCGAGCAGAGCCGGGGAACGAGAGGGGGGAGGGGGCATAGGGGAGCGCACATCATCACACACCTTTGGTAGGACAAAAAAAAAGATGGAAGCGTTAAGCAGCGTGAAGGGGAAAAAATTCGTCAAGATGAGAAAACGTAAAAAGGTACTTCGACTTCCAAGCGAGGCCACGACAACGTCGACAACCACCTAACAATTCCGTTCCGTCGAAGAGAATTGGTGAAGGGACGAAAAATTTTTGCACGACGGGCGGATAATTAATTACGATGGGGGGGAGGCAGTGGTCCTCCTGGTGGTCGCTGGCGCTGGGCATTGCCGGGGCAGGAGCAATGCGACAGAGCGACGGGGGCCATCGAGGAAGGACCAGCAGCGTTGGCTCCGGCGTTGGGGCGGCTTGAGGGCTGCGTCTGGACCGAAAAGCGGGTCCTGCTGAAAATCCAGGCGCCAAATGGTCCCTAGGCAGGGGCAGGCGCGAATAACACGGTGCTGGAGGACATGATCTCGTCAATATCTAACGTCGCCATGCAGCAACGTGGCATTATCTCTCGTTCAATTAGCACGATAATCTAGAGGAGAGACTACTGGCGCACGAGGCTAAGAGCATGTACTTCGTAGCCATGTGCAGGGAGAGTCGCAGGCAAAACAGACCTAGAATCTTGCTGTGCCTAAATTCCCCGATCTTAAGGAGGTACATGAGTATTTTGGTACAGAGTCCCCAGCTCTTGGATTGTGTTGGACCAGACACATCAACTTGAATCACTTTTATCCGCAGGAGCTGCGCTGTTCCATTCCCACATCAACGGATTAAAATTCCAGGTTGCCAGCAGAATTGAGTACGCGATTGTCACCATGGGGAAAGCTGGCGGTCTACGGTTTCCTGATGCAATCTCCTTTCTCCAGTCGCCGCGTTGTGTAAACTTGCTTCGTACTGATACCTGGCATGCTCTACTATTTCTGTGCGGCAACCTTGTCTCTACCTGATTCACAAAGTGCTTAATATCACGCATCGAGTAGCGTTGAGGTACCCTTCTTGCTATTTCGGCCTAGTGGCTCCTGCATAAGGTACCTCGACACTCTGTTCCAAGCTTGGAAGGCGGGGGAGCCGACAGCTTCCAAGATCTAATTTCAACTCTGCCTTGGATTGTGATTTTCACCTGCTGACCCGTTGGCTAATAAGCGTGCGCCATCCCAGCAAACTCTTCATCACTTAGTGCACAGCGAAGCAGGCCACATGTGTCTGTCGTCCTGGCTTCGATATTTTCAGCCCGACTGCGGAGTACTACCAAGTGGCACTTGAGCCATACGTGCCATTCCATTTCCAACGACCAACTTCCATCATATCAACAAACTCATCCACGACGCATGAACTAGTGTTTCATTAAGAAACTTTGTCCAATTGCAAGAAAGTCTCTTCTCATTCAAACTAGCAAGACCGGCTCTCGGGACCGTGGTATAAAAGGGATCGACCGCCTGCTAACCGAGGCTACCAACCCGCTTTGCCTCGTGCAAAGCCGAAAAGAATCTAAATATCAAACTGCCTCAATGCCACATACGTCAAATTTAAACTAAGCCACACAAACAATCTAATAGCGCTATCAGGGGTCGAACCCAACCTCCTTACAGCCCGGGAGATAAGCCCACGACTACTTGCCACGCGCGGATCCGCTACCCGGGGACTGACCACGCAAAACGACGATTTGATATCCGCACCACTTGGACACCATCTACGCAGCCAGCACGGGACTACACTCGAAACAAAACACCAAGACACCCAGCACGCTCGTATTCTCGGCACGGTTTGAATTCTCCCTGCCTCTCCATTGACGACGCCATAAACTTGCGTTGAATACGAATAACTATACAGTGGACGCCCAGACACAAATGCAACTGATGCTCTTGACAACACGCTCTACTAGATACAACATCGATGCCGGACCAATTTTCAGAACAACCCATGCTTCATGCTAAAGAAGCGGACAGATGGTCGCGATGCAAACCCAGTTATAATACCCAACCCATAAAAGCAACCTCCGGCTAGTGGTAAACGGCGGAGAATTCGGCAGTAGTAGCTCTCTAGAGCCTCACTCGACCCTAGCAGTGGCTTGACGGGCACGAGGCTCACGCCAAATCCGCCAATGGCCTGCCGGTGACCAAGACCGGATCTGTGTAAACGTGTCATACACGATGACACGATTCCCAGTCATTCAAAAAAGACCACTGGGCTAGTGAGGCATGGCACAGGAACCAGTGACCTCTTGCCGGAGCCATATCTTGCCACCACCGCAAGTCCATCGCCCAACAGTTCGGACCATTGAGCCATGTTGGTCTCCCCTGAACCAAAGTGCAGCCTAGTAACTCCAAGACCCACGACTATAAGTAGACAGCATTTGGAAGCAAAAAGAAGATTCCATCTGATGCACGGCTTTTGTAAGGTATACTCATTCCTCGATGGCATATGATACAACCATTCCATCGCCAGCAATTCAAGCACTCGGCACGGGAGGCACCCCCGCCCCAGAGACAGTGTACGTCTGCGGCGGGGGCGCCATAGACCGCGGCCGGGCCTCAACCACGTACGAGATGCCGTCGTCGGAGGCATACGACGGGGGCCTCGGGCCGGCGGCCGTGTCTGGACGCCGCGGCACGGGTTCCGCAGCCTCGTTGCGCTGCCAGAACAGCCGGTTGGGATCGACGCGCTGACGTTGCATTAGCAAAACCACTTCACCCTTTATATAGATCATGCTGGCTGGTGCACCTACCACGCTTTCTCTCCATAGGCCATACGCCGGCGGTCGGCTCTGGGCCGCCTCGCTCTCAATGCCCGCGGCCTCCTCGTCCCGCGCCAGCACCACGGGGATGGGCTTCGGGGGCACCACGTAGCCCCCCGGCCCCATCATCTCCGGCAGCCGTCGCCTCCGTGTCCTGTCGCCGCGCGAGACAATCACGCAGAGACGTACGACGCTGTAGCAGAAGAACAGCGTGGCGGAGAGGATGATGAGTATGATCATGATGGTCACCTCCCCGCGGGAAATGTGGTTGGTCAAAGCTAATCCTAGATCTGGGTCCCCGGGGGGTTTCAGTAACCATGAACGGAACTGTCTGCGTAATAGACACCATGGATGATGCCGACACACAAAAGGGGCAAAGAAAGAGGGAAATTTTTTGCTACTTACAGACGGCGAGGAGCGTGGCCAGAAACATGCCCGACACGAAACATGTCAGGATCTGGGAGCGGACGTGGCGCGACTTTACCCACGGGAAGCAGAACATGAACTTCCTGGGGTGCGGCTTTCTGCTGTCTCGGCTGCCGGCGTCCTGGGATGGCGGCTGCTGCTGATCCTCGGAGCTGATGGCGACTATCATCGGCCGCTCGGGGGGGGTGTTGCCGTATCCAAGGTGACTGAGCGAATCTCTCGGTGGTGCTGTCGAGGCCACGGGCTCGGGGGGTAATGGCCGCTGCGCCTCCAACGATGCCATTGGAATTGGCGATGGCAAAGAACTCGGAGGGTGCCCGGACTCGCTGTATCTCGACGAGGTGAATGTAAGTCGTCGTGGGGGCTCTTCTGGGGATTTTGGGCCATCGTCGTTTGTAGTTTGCTGTGAAGGCCGTGGCGGGAAAGAAGGTATCCTGTCCAGGATGGCTCTCTGCCGTGATGTCGATGCCTCTGCCGCTGTATTCATCTGTGCCACGCCAATATCCCGCTCAACATGCTCGCTTGTTCGTCTTTCGTTTCGAGCCCGCCGCAAGAGGTCAGCTCGCAGCCTCTCCATCGCACCGTGCCCTCGTGCCATGATGTCGGATACAGTCTGTGGAACTTGGGGCGCGTCAAAGAGCTGAAATCATGGTTTACCAAGCCGTTATAATATTCTCGCTCCCATGCAAAAATATTCCCACCACCAGTCGTGTAGTCATTTAACAGAAAAAAAATGTGAATGTTTGCAACACCTTGTCGCCCCAGCGGACCCTCCTCAAAAGCCCGCTGAATTGGGGAGGAGAAAAATTGAGCACTTGGTCCCGTCTATAAGCAACAAAGAGGAAAACTCGCAGGTGAAAAGGCGGCGGGGTTAGAGCAATCGTGATTGTTGGTCAATGTCTCAAGGACTTATACAGACTAGAAGGGATGGAGATGGTGGCTTTCTTGTCCCCCGAGACTAATTCGGCCAAATGCTGGTCCCCGGGATCGCAGACCCCAACCCCCAGGATGGCCGTGAAATGAAAAAAGAGAGATCAAGAAACAAGGGAGAAAGCGACCGTCGGTAAAAATATAATGCTAAAACTTTTCTAGAGGAAGGGGGGAGGAGGAGAAAAGGGTACAATGGAGACGATGTTTGGAGAAATTGGCACAAGACGTCTAACGAGATGAGACCCGAGGTCACGAACCAGGTGCACGACACAAGCTGCCCGCACTACGCACGCAGCGAGCAGGTAAACACACTGCGACACGAAAGGTTCAGGCAGGCCGCTCTGTCCAACACGACGGTGGTAAGAGGACTCAGGAGGCCTGCGCCATGTGTCTCACGGTTGACTGCATGCCCGGCATCCTCAGGATGAGTAACGACGACGGAAACAGGTAAAGCAGGCACAGGCACACGACCAAAGGGCTGCGCCATCCGGAGGCTGTCTGTGCCGGGGTTCGGGGATGGGCGGCCCAGCGAGCAGCAGCAAAGTCGTGGGGAAAGGCTAATGTTGATGAGGCAGGGGGACAGTTCATGTAGGGCCCCGGCGAGCAGGAATCAAAGAGAGACATCAATTGATGTCAATACATGACCCCTTGAGGCAGGGCGAAAAAGGTTCAGGGTTCCCTGGGGCCGATCGCTGGTCGAGCAACGGCGAAACAGCTTGCCCAGCGAGTGCCAGAGGGCGGCAGAGGGCCATTGCTGCGACAATTGGCGTGTTGCAGAGTTTCACTGCGGCTGCCAAAATCCAATCAATCCCACGGCCGCCAGAGGCGCTGTTTCATCATCCCTGCAGTCGACTTGCCTGGTCATGGGCGCTTGCGATGCGCTCGAGATCCGTCCATTGACTTTGGACCCTGGCAGAAGCGAACAAGTCCATCCATCATGCCGCAGGGAAGCGCCAAAGGCGACAAAAAAAGAGGGCGCGTAATGCGGAGTAGTACTCTGTACTCTGCTGGCTGGTTCGTGTTGATCCATTGATGGGGTCCATCAGCCTCTCACGCAGTGCCCTAGATCAGTGTTGTATGCATCCGCACAATGTGCTCCAAAGCACCAGGCTCATCTGAAATACATACGTCTATTGCCTATGGCCATGAGTCTGCACCTCATTCATGGCCGCTAGGATCCGCCTCAAACCCTCATCTAGATGATCCCTCCTCTGCGTAAACACGATCCTGAACCACCCCGGCCTCTCCGAGCCAAACTGTAGCCCCGACGCAAGGAACACTCTTTGCCGCAGCAGGGCATCATTAACCGCCTGGTCGATACCTCGGCCATCATCGATGTGTCGTTCACGATACGCACTTCCCAGATCCACCCACAGGAAAAAGGCTGCATTCACCCCTGCCGCATACTCGATGCCGTTGCTTCGCGCCCACTGCACAACATGCTCGTAATTCTCGGCCAGCTTCGTCCGGTTCTGCAAAATATACCCATCTATCCAGGCGTCATCCTCCAGTATATTTGCCACGACGTGGTCGGATATCGACGACGACGAGCTGTACAGCGACGGCGGCACCAGCGCCCGGTGCAGGCCCGGATTGTTCTGCGATATGATGGCTCCCAGCCGCAACCCGTTGGCCCCAAAATCCTTAGAAATACCCCAGATGACGTGCACGAGCGCAGGGTCGATGACTCCCGCGGTATTAATGGAAAGCACCGACTCAAAGGGGGCAATCTCGACTCCCTGGTCGACCGTGTTGGTAAACGTGGACAGTGCATAAATTTCGTCGCATATCAGGTGCACCTGGTGCCTTTGGCAAAGCCTCATCAGCGCCAGCAGCACCTTGCGAGGATAGCTTCGTCCCAGAGGATTATGGGGATGTGCCAGGATTAACCCGGCGACTCGCTTGCCCTTTGCCTGCGCGTCCCGTATCGCGTCCTCGTATTTCGGCACGCCGTCTACGCCGAGGGGATCTGCATCGTCAAAGTCCACCATGGCGAGCTGCGTGCCCATCCGCAGCGTCACGTCCGGCACAAAGGTCCCGTAGTACGGCTTCCCGAGGAGGAAGACGTCGCCCGGGTTCCCGAATGCCCACGCCGTGTGCTCCAGGGCCGAGCTGCAGCCGTTCGAGATGGTCAAGTGTGAGGGCTCGACCGTCACAACAGGATGGAAGTGTCTGGTCAGGAACCGGGCCAGCGCACTCTTGAGACGCTTTTTGCCATCGCCATATGTAAAGTCCTCGTTTGGTAGGGCCATGTTTCTGTGCATGTGTTCCGAGAGCATGTCGTGCATAAGCACATTTTCTGCTACGCCGAGACTGACGAAGCCATTGGGATTGTTCTGCGGGTCCCAGATGTTTTGGAGGACTTCCCAGAAGAAGAATTTGGGATCTGGTTTGGATAGGTCTTGTGCTCGCGTAGACAGTGCCATGGTGCCTTCTTTTTTGAAATTTTCGAGTTTGACAAGACGTGTGGAAAAGGACCATATTCAGGCCGTTATGACACCAGGTAACATGCAAGTGCCGACACCGGCATCCTTGCGAAACCCACGTACAAAATTTGCTCCACATTCGTCTTCTTCCGCGGCAAAAAGTGTAATGCGTGCTCGACGTGGTCATGCTTGTTCGTTATGGCTAAGCTTTTGGGGGCCATGACAGGCCCGGCATGTTGGACGCGCTGGTGATACCTGTGTCTCTACGGAGTACTGAGGCATGAGGTTCGTATGACCAGATTGATTCGATCTTCACTTTGGAATCCCTGCCCGCCGCTCCATGAACCGGGCATGTTCCTTTTGACAACTGTGGTGAATAACCTCCGTTAGTCCTCTGCGCCTCCATCCATTCAGTGGACGTAGCCTCCCAAGTCCGCTGACAACCTTCTCTTGCAGCAGCCAACATCAATTCCACGGGCTCTCCAATGCTGTGGCTAGCACAATGGTCGTGATGTTGGTTTGTCGATGCCACTTGCGACCGCGGAATCATCTGGATTTTTCTTAGGCTAGCAGTCTGTCTCCAATCAAGCCATAGGCTCCAATGGGGACGAGGACAATATATTGAGCAGAGACACGAGCATCATGGTTCCAGTTTGTTTCAACCGCAACGTTGCTGCCGCAAACCGCAAGCAAACCTCTCCCTACATCCCCACTAGCTCTGCTGTCAGAGAATAGCTTTAGCAAATGGCATTACTGGGTTCGACTGCATGAGTAGGCTGCGATTATTGGTGGTGGCGGCGCTCCAACCAAAGTATCCGCTTGCCGAAGCCGTTGATAAAACTTGATATAGCGCCATCTGTTCCTGTTGTGACTGCAAGGTACCAAAGAATTTCCAGAGTACCAGTATATCTACCCCGACAACCTAATGTGTCGCAAAGCGGCCGTCACTCTTCGAGAATGTTTCGATTTTCCGGGCGGTCGGCAACCTCGGAACGCGTCCCCCATATTAATAATGAGGCTACTTACTCCGTAAATCGACTACTAGTACTGGAGCAATCAGTCTCAACTGGCGCGCGGTAAATTAGTCTTTAAACAATACGGTCGTGGGAGATTTGTCATCAGCTGCGGAACAGCAACCCCATGTCACAGTGGTGCCATTCAAATACGGCGTTGACGCCGAGACTGATATAAAGAGCGCAATCTAGGTGGTTCCTATTGCTTCGCAGTTCAGCAGAGTAGTTGGCTTCATTGTCTTCTGACGCAACTTGGTGTTCCGTGCAATTTAATACGGCAACGCAATGGCGACTACAATCGTTGGGGTAAGTACCTATGCAAAACTGCAAGGTGGCGAGGATGCGTCCTGACCTCGGAATCAGAAAAACTACCATGCTGGTGGTCGCTTCGTAAGACCGGACAGCACTTTTCGAAACTTCATTTCCAGGGACCCAGAGTCCCAGTTTCCAGCTGAAGCAGGGCGATATGCACTATACGTATCGCCTGGCTGCCCATGGGTACGTCTGCAAAGAGGTCAACTGGTGTTTCAACGCCTACCAGATGTCTGGTGCTAATTTCGTCGCAGGCTCATAGAACGCTCATTGTTCGCCTTCTCAAAGGCCTCGAATCCATCATTGACGTGTACCAAGTGCACTTTGTCATGGGCCCGGACGGATGGTATTTCAGTGGAGAGGGCGACTCGCTCCCTGAAGATCCGTTGCATGGCTTCAAGAAGCTGAGGGAACTGTATTTGAAAGCTGATCCCAGTTTTGTCGGCCGGTACACTGTTCCTGTGCTGTGGGACAAAAAGGCTGACGTGCTCGTAAACAACGAGTCATCCGAGATCATTCGAATGCTGTACTCGGAATTCGATCACCTCGTGCCCGAAAATCTGCGAGAAGGCAATCGACCAGGCGGGGGGCTGTACCCTGAACATCTACGGCCGCAAATTGATGAGCTCAACGCTTGGGTATACGATACGGTGAACAATGGTGTTTACAAGACTGGTTTCGCCAAGACCCAAGAGTCATACGAGGAGAACCTCGGCATCTTGTTCAAGTCTCTTGACAAATTGGAAGAGACACTCGGACACGGTAAACAATTCCTGCTGGGTGACGATTTGACAGAGGCAGATATCCGATTATACACCACATTGGCTCGGTTCGATGTTGCATATCACCCCGTTTTCCTCTGCGACCTCAAAATGATTCGACACGACTATCCGCGACTGCATCTCTGGCTGCGTCGG